CTCTTCCAAAACCTTCCACATTTGCATATGTTTTCCCATTAAGATGGTGTTGCAGTGAACGAAAAAGATGGTAATCTGATGGTGCCATATTGGAGAATATGGTGGGTATGGGAGAATTTCCCAACCGAACTCCATAATCTTGTGTTGCGTCAAACATGCGACATGTGGAAGTGCATTGATGAGTGAAGGGGTTTCTGATGAAGGGTTTGATTTAAACGTTCTAGTTGCTGACTATAGATCTCTGCATTGACAATTCACTGTGGATTGAGGAGTTCAAAATAAATTACTCCTTTGATGTCCCACCAAATGCAAAGCATCGCTTTTTGTGGATGGCGTCCAGGTTTTGGGGTCGGAAGTGGTTTTTGTCTAGGACTGAGCCATTGTTTTTGGCATTTAATATTCATAAAGAGAATCCATTTTTCATCATCGGTGACAATACTGTCTAAAAATGGTTCACAAGCATTATGCTTCAGAAGAGACGAAGCAACATTCACATGTTGGAAACGATGATCATCAGAAAGCTCATGAGGCACTCAAACACCTTCTTTATGAAGTTTCCCATATTTCTTAGATGTTTACATATTGTTTAATGAGAGATATGCAATTTCAGGGCCATTTTACGAATGTGTTGCCTTGGGTTAGACTAAACAAGCATCTTCAGAGCATCAATATCAAGTCCAACATGTCAGCCCCTACCAACACAGTTTTTAAGGCTAGAGTCACCTGAACGAAATTTGCTGAACCATCATTGACATGAACGTTCAAAATGTTTCCATAAACTTACTTGATATTTTTTGTGGCTACAGAGGCATTGTTTCCCTTCTTGTATTCAAACAGCATTACATGCTGAATGTATGTGTCGTGAGGTTTAGGTGGTTCGTTTAAATATTATACGTAATGTATGCTTTTTTTTGGGTGGGGGGTTAATGAAAGTGTTCCAAAATGCTACATTAATTTCTTGACGACCTAATACACTATTGCTCACCTTTTATTTAAGCTATGCTTTATAATTGAAAAACCTTTTCTTAATTCTAATCTTAACCTCATCTCTAAACATGGTCAAAATAGCATATAAATATACAAATTTCCTTTTATTTCAAAGTAAAGTTTTCTCCTTCCCTTTATCACCTCCAATTTGCAACATGATTTTTTTACTATGAGAAGAACTTCATTCTTATATTTTATATTGAATCTTGTACTGTAAAAGCTGCTGAATTGTGATGATTTTCTATGAGATAAATTTTATAAAGAGCCAGATATTAAATTCATTCAGGAAAACGTTTCAGAAAAGTTCTAACTTATATGTAAAACAGAGTTATCAGTCAATCTGATGCTCTATGTCAACAGTTGTTTTGAGGAACTGGTTGAACCAATTTTGATAAAAGTTGGTTGAAAAACTCAGGTGCATAAAGTGCGAGTGC